GAGGACTCTAAGTGCTTTCAGATGCTTCCTCGTTATGGTAATCTGGTAATCCACCCCTCGCCCATAGGTTTTGACTTATTTATAACACCATTCGAAGTGATTACGATCTTAATTGTAAGTGATGCACTTGCTCACATGACCAGGGTATAGTTTTTCACCCCCCAGTTTAACAGAGGGTCACAACTATCCCACACACACACAAATTGCCGTCCTTTTTCCCACTCTAACCAAAAGGTTCATGCCCCTAACGAGGCTATATCTAATCAAATATTCAACCTTTTTTAAATCGGCTAAACTGATTTCATGGCTACGATAAGCAAATATCTGCCATTTCCAACAAATTACTTGTTAACAAGTGCATTTTAATGTTCAGCTTTTTGGCCAAATTGTGGCACATGTGTGTATGTTTTGTATTTCTCTGTGTGTTTTTGTGGATGAAGTGGCCACAACTGAAATTCATGTGGGCCATAAAAAAACCGACTAAACACAAGCCTACAAATGGCCAAAGCTCCCACAGTGTGTGTGTGTGTGTTTTGGCCAATTGGAACAGAAAATTGTGAAATGGTTTTTGTGCTTTGTGATTGCTGCCCTTTTTTTCCATTGCCACTGCTACCTCGATTTCAATGTAATTTGAACATGCAAACCGTATGTTTAAATGCAAAAAAAAGAAAAGGCCAGGGGCGTCATTTAGAGGGCGCTAAACAAGGAAATGTGAATATCAAAATTATTTAACTTCAAAAATACCTGTTTTGCTTTGCTCATATACAAATATTAATAAATAATTGGAAACTATTCAAAGAATTGGCTTATAGCTAAATGGATACTATACAAAGAATAGATTAATAACCAACTAAATATTGACGTTTGTTTTTTTTAAATTTTCCATATGTCAGTGGTCATGAACTTTACGTATTAGAATGCAGATATCTTTCAATTAAAAAGTACAGAAAAAAAAACCAATCAAATCTTTTTTTTTTTTTGGTCGAACATACCGGATACCGATGGTCTGTCAAAAAGGGCGCTCAATCAAAGTTCACCACGTTAACTGGCATTCCTTTTCATAATATGAAATTGATTTTCCACATTTTTTCCGCTGTTTCTGTCCAATTGAGATGAAAATTCGATTCAATTCCCATACAATTTCATGGATTAAAATGTTAATTCCAATCTAATTAAATGCATTGGCTTTGATTTCCATTTAAAGACCTAGTCATCAAGAGGGTTTCTGGTTTCAAAGTCCATCAATAAAAAAAAAGGTCGGAAAATGCTTTGAATAATCCGGGGAGGTTAAAAAATCAAATCGAGAAGAGGTCGCAGCTGTTTTGACGCAGAAATAATCCATTAGTTCAATAAATGTGTAGCGCGAGTTTTTGTCTTTTTTATGCTTTTTTTCTTAACACCATCCGCGGTGCGCTCCCTCTTTGGAAGTCAAATATTTGTACAATAATTTGTGGAAAAATGCTGGTGGGTGGAGCAAAGGGCAGCAGCATCTGGTGACGAAATCAAAACCGATCCCTGGCAATAAGCGCTCCTGCAAATACGCGACGTAGGTCCTGTTCCCTATCTCCATGACCGTCGCTCGTTGCTCATTTTAATCTTTTGATTTTCGGGGATATTGGCGGGGGACAGGACAGGACAACCCAGGACGACCCTCTCCTCTCGACCCACAACAGGAGCTAAGCACACAGACAGGGTCGGGGACATGGAAAATACTTGAAAAATTACTCACCCGCAGCGGCGGCGCAGATCCCAGCAACAGCCGGCATACGAAATGGATGAATGAAAAATTTGTGGAAAATCCCAGGAAAACATTTTGAGCAAACAAACACACACATGCATGTTAAGACCAGAGGGTACGGGTGAAACGGTGGGCATTTGGGTATGGTTCCGGCCATATTCGATGGCCAGCAGCGGGTGGCTCAAAAATCAATGGGCTCAAAATATTAAAGCGCTCGATTTTCATGTTTTCCATGTTTGCAGAGAGCCCTCGATCCCGCCCCCACCTCTTTTTTTTTTACCCCTGTTCGATTTCCGTGTGTGAGCTCCGATTTCGATTCCGTTTCTGATTCCGCTTGAGATTGCTGTTTGTGCATTGGCGGCTGCCTTTTCGATTTGTAAATTGGCACTCAATGAATCAATGGATTTCGCCTCATTTTTAGTTCTGGCCGCAGTGGTCAACGAGTGTGTTTTGAAAAGTTAGGAAATATTATAATAAATTATTAAATAAAATAATAATAATACTTTAGAAGCCAAAAAAAAGGTGATACATTTAACATTTTAAAATGGGAAAGCATTGGTGAAATATATATGGGAAACTTTCTAGTTCTTAGTTAATAATAAAAACGTATATATAACTTTAGCTGGGATAATCATTAAAAAGTGGGTCAATCCTTAGATATTGCCAAAGATTTAAATAAGTGTAAATGACCGCTTCATAACTCGTACTCTCCAATTAAAAATAAGTTAATTAATAAGTTTATTTCTGATTTAAAGTTAATTTGTTGATTAAAAGTTAATGTACTGATTTTGACTTTTTATTTAGTACACTTTAAACTCAGAACTTTTCTTTCCACCTCCCATACATCTCTCATATGCTCCACATACAAATCAGTCAAAGTGTTTTTCGGCCTTTTCATCGACTTGATTTTTTCAACACTCTTGACGTTTTCAGCCAACTGCTCTCATATTTGTGTGGAGATTTCGAGCAGCATTCCTGCCAGTCGGCTATAATGTACTTGACCTGGCCAGATCTTTTAAGAGGGGAAAAGAGGAGGAGAAGGAGGAAGACTTCGCCTATCGCGGCACAATAAACTGCTAAAAGTGCAGTCTGGTTTCAATAACTCCGTGTGTGTTTTTGCGGGGTGTCCTTCCTTTGAGCCTGTGGCCGTGACTGTGGATTCGCTGCGAGTGTCCTTCCCTTCTTCACCCAACGAACGTGTGGCATGCTCCATTTGTGCTCTGATATACGGAATTATGCTGAAATCACGTTCACACAAAAAAAAAATAATGGAACTAGAGCGGGTTAGGATAAGAGTTTTCCTCTGCTCCGCGTTTTCCTCTGCTGCAGCTGGGAAATCTCGGCATAAAGGAGCTGGAGCCACCAAGAAAAGTGCTTCCTGCATAAGCGATTTTCCGATGCGGGTGGATGTGTGTGGCCCTTGCTTTGATGTTGTTTTGGTTATTGTTGTGTTTTATTATGTTTGCGTCTTCCCTCTTTTTTTTTTTGGTAAATGCTTTCAACTATTTTTATAACAGCAGGAGTAGCTCAAAAATAAAGAGGAAAGTGCACGAAAATCCTGTGTTTACTTTGCTCACTCGCAGAGAAATCGATAGTAATCCACTAGATCGATACGGTCCTCCAGAATGAATAGGTATTTTGACGAAATTATATGATATGGAAAACTGGGAAAATTAATTTGGTTCTTTTTGTGTGGTCTCACAAGTCATTGAAATCAATTTTTAATGTAATTACTGGGGACATTTCAAGTGGAAAGTGAAAAAGGGAGGTACTTCACACATGATTACCCTGCAATCAAAGGCGTTTGTTCCCTCCCTAAAAAATAAATTATACCTGTAGAAAATAACTACAAAATATATGTTTCTAACACCACTATCTCTATTGCTAGCTAGAGACTAATTTTCAAGTTCTTACTAATAGGAATTTATAGGAATTTAACACTTTAAGTGCCGCTCGTTAAACTCTAAACGTTTCCAAAAATTTGATCCAAAATCAATTGGTTAAAGCTAAAAGCTGACGTGCTTAACCCTCTTTTCCTGGCTTGTGGCCATTTTAACGATCACACCTTGAATGGGTACTAACTGTCACCTCATCTCCATCACAATGTGAGCTGTGAATGACTTTGAATAAATGGGCTAGTGTGTGTGATTGGGTTAGAAATCCATCCGACGGATGATGCCAATCAAGGGGCACTTTTATTGCCGACAACATTTTTCTTAGCCCCTGCCGTAGAGGCTTGATTGCCTGAGAGTCACTTACTTAGTTGATGGTAGTTTCGTACACTGAACCAAATCATAGAAACAAACTTTCTACATTCCTATTTTTTATTTATTGGTCTGATATCTAATTATTATAAATCTTAAGTCTTAAAAACAGCTTAAGAATAAGTATATTGATATAAAACTAAGCAAGGGTATAAAAAAAACTAGGCAGCACCAAATATTTTAAAACACAAAGCATTATTTTCTTGTGTATTTTTTCCCCCATGATAAATGGCGGGCGTGTGGAAATCTGGGGAGAAATCACCTCTCCAGGGGGATGATGACATGGCAAGTGACATGGCCAAAATCAAATCATTGTCTCAGCGGTACAGGAAAAATCCTCCTGCACTCACTCTGATTCAAATTAACTCGAGGAAAATGGAGAGAAAGGATGCTGAAAAATAATGGAGATTTATCAATCGCATTATCTAGCCATCAATCTTGTCAAAAACTGATAGATGAGCCATTATCTGACAAATTATCTGTCGCGTGTGTGTGTTCGATGGGTTTGAGACTTACAAATTAGAGTCATTCGTCCCATAAATATTCCCAAGCCGATTGATGAGTGGACTTCACAAGAAAAATCAGCAGATAAAGAGGGGAGTAGATTTACCCCAAATAATAAATTAATTCAGCTTGAGGCAGAATAAGTAAATTATGAAAGGTTAAAGAAGTTGCAGACCATAATATTTATTGTTTTACAGATATGAAATACAAACAACTTTATAAATGTGTATATAACACAGATATCATTTTAGTTGGTTAAGTCAACAAATATTTACAGTATATTGCTGTAAAATAATGCTAACATGTATTTTGTAGTTGCATTTTGTACTGTATTGACGGTTGAATGAACTCAGCTTAAGGCAGAATAAGTAAATTATGAAAGGTTATACGCTTTTATAGCATTTGCAACCATAATATTTATTGTTTAACAGTTGTGAAATACAAACCACTTTAAGAATATATACACAGATATCATTTTCGTTGGTTAAGTCAAAAAGCATTTACAGTAGATTGGCTGTAGAATAATGCTATCATGTATTTTGTAGTTGAATTTTGTACTGTATTGACGGTTGAATGAACTACAAAAATTGTTACTTTTACCAGGCAAGATAATAAGATTTCTGAAGAATATAAATAAAACTCTAACGAATTCATAAAATCAGCGAAGTATAGAAATAGTGAAATCTTCTTGTAGTACTAATTTTTATTTAATATACATTTATGTTCCAATAATTTACTTATTTTCTAATAATTTTTTTATTTTCCAATAATTTATACATTTTATTAAACAAGGCATCAATTAGCATCAATTTTCGTGATGGTTGATGGGAAACGCTATGGTTTTTACCTTGTCACCAATCACATGTACCTCAAAGTGAACCTGTTGTACGATTGAAACTCCAGTGATGGGTGGAACAGGCAGTGCTGGGATCGTAATTGATTCATTGATGCAGTTAAAAGTCCATTGCGAAGCTTGTGGAAGTCTGGTTACCAAATCGAAGCACTGTGCCAACTTAGCCGACCACACAGAAACTGAATCGAAGTTCAAGCCTTCTCGGTTATACAATTTCACAACTTCACTGAGGTTTCGAAAAGTACTTAAAGTTATAACAGCCGATGGCTTATCACCGAAAAAGTATTGCGGGAAGTCCAAAACTATAATTGGAGATCCCTTCATTCTGACACCATAACGTTTTTTCATGTCTGTCTCCTCGAATTCCTCGATGTGTATTGTTGAGCACTTCATGCGGTCGATAAACTTAACCGATTTTAAGTAATTTGGATGTCGCTGAATGCGCTCATCCATCGGTTTTAAGTTTGCACGAATTTTCCTTATCATTTCGTCTCTTATTGATTCCTCTACGAGAACACTTGCCACCAGTCCGCTTCCAATGGGGTGCACCATATTACTGGTTATGATGTCTGTAATCGTGTCCAAATCCCCACTGCTGAATACAATCATTATTCGCGGAAGCACCCACATTCTGTGTGTCCCATTTTCGGGATATCTGTGTACATGTCGCGACAGTAAAGATAAGTATATGTCGGAAAATACCTCCTCTTCACTCTGCTTTTGTGGAACGTAGTCAGTGTCGGTCATTTTATTTCCTATCGCTTAGAATTTGGATATTTGTTACGTCCAATTTGTATTTCGTTTAAGCAAAAGTTCATAGAGCCAAAGGCCACTTTTCTGGTTATACTATTTAATTACCTTATTGCCATTCCTACTGTAAAATTGAGGTCTTTAAAGATTTTTAAAGCTGAAAAAAGCGTCCACCAAAATCGGACTTCGCTACCCAATAATTTAATTCAAGTCAACAGAGAATAAATAATTTTTAAAGTGGTATTAAATAAAAAAGTCGGATGGAGGAAAAATTTATGAGACGCCTTTTAAAGTGTTTTCGGACCGAAAAACTATCCATGAATATTCACGAATAATTTACAAGTTAGCTGCACTCCCCTGCTCTTGATTCTCCCCATCTCAGATCCAATTTGTTAATGAAGTTATCAACGGTTCAAGTTAGTTTTTCCTTAGTTTCCAATTCATTTGCATATCTCGAGGAGCACCGCTCTTGTTGTTTATGTTTATGGGGCTTTATAATCTGCTTTTATAGTTTGTTTACTTAATTTTCTGTAGCTTTTTGACATTTTGCTCCAAATTAAAAAAAAAGCACACACAAAAGACGAGGGTAATATTTAAGGAGGAGGAGAATGTGGAAAGGGAGGCGCTGACGTATAAATATTCCCATTGCCCATTCCAAAAACAAAAAATAGAAAAAACCAAACAAAAGCAAAAAGTTTTGGGCGGAAGTGGCTGCGACGCCGAAATACAAACAAAATGAAAACGAAAAAAATGCAATGAAAACAAAAATAATAAAAGCAGCCAAAAAATGGGAATACGAATATTGCTGTTCCAGTTTTTTTTAGGACAAGACTTGGGATGGGGAAAAGTGAAATGAAAATCCACCAAAATATGCACATGAATTTAGTTTCAATTTCACATAAATCGCAAACGCTTTAAATGAAGAGACAGAGGTTTAATAGAAAAATAAACTCGACGAAAAACAAATTAGCAATGCAGGCAAAGATATAAAAATAAGTAAACAAAATGTTTAAGGATAAAAAGCTTACTGCTTTCAAGATTTTATATGGCAAAGAGCACTTTGTACCATTTAAATCACAGAAAAATATAAGTGCTGTTTAAGGAACCGAGACATAAAACATAGATGATATTGCATCTTACATTGCAAATAATAAATAATTAATAAATTTGTTGATTTAAAATAATACTTCGTTTTAACTGTGTCAATCAAATCAATGATTTTTTAGATATACACTTTATTTAGCTACAAATTGTAGCTAAATTTACCCCATAGGCATTTTTTGAAGTAAACGAATTCCGTTAAATTTTTGGTTTCGCCCTTTGGAGCTGTGATTAATTTTTGCCATGGGCATTTTTATTTTTTTCTTTACGCCGACAACTGTCTGGGAGCTGTTGTTCTTGCTTCTGTTGCGCCCATTCATGGCTCCTAAGTGGCCGAAATGTTTTTGTGCCACGTTATTAATGATCAACAAATTCCCCTGACATTTCGTTTCGTTTTGAAGTTGACACGTGCGCGGGGAAAACCGAAACCGAAAAGTGGAAACTGTTCCGCGATCCACGTTGTGTCTGCCGGAACGCACTGGTCCGCTCCTGAATTATTTTTTTTTTGTCATGATCCAGTGCTTAGAGTCACATGGCATTCCCCATTTCAGACCCATTCCCCTCTACGCTCTTGTTGCGTTAGTGAAATGAAATGATTTTGAGTAATTTATTTTATAGTCGCGCTGAAGTATTTATTATTTTGAAAAGCGCCGAACAATGCCATGATTAATTTCGCTGCATGTGAAGCAAGTGGCCAACCGCACCGCACGGCCCCTCCCCCTCCCCCTTACCCCGCTGCCCCTGGCTCACATGGCTCCCCTAATCCCTCGGAAAATTCCTTGCGGCATCGAAAGTTTTTCTTTTTCGGCTGCCATTGATTGCCGAACATATTTGGGTTGCTGCTGTTGTTTTTTTTTTCTTGGGGGTTCTGCGTGTTATTTATTCGATTTGATTTCGGCTCCCCCATCTCCTTTCTGCAAACATATTGCAAAAGCGAAGGTTCCTCTCAATCCTCAAAGTGCAGTTCCGGGCAAAAAAATAGAATCAAAATTATTATTGGTACATATTTAGATCTTTAGAGAGATAAGTTAAAAGAAACGATTCTACTACTATTTTCCTATTAATTTTGCAATCTTTTGACAGCTGCAATGATTTTTTCGACTATGTTTTGTAAACTCAAAATAATCAAGTAATTCTTTAATTTTATTAAATGACTTTATTTTTGAATGTTTGCGTATATGCTAAAGCCTCTGTTCTATGTTCTATGTTAATTCCTGTATATTGCGTTGCATTTTAAATATATTGTATATAATATAATTGCTAATATTACACCTTTAATTGCCCCTTATAATTTAAAACATCTAAATTCCTAATAATCTGGCTATATTTTTTTCACCACCGCTGTATGGTGCTTTTCCTCTGTTTTTTTCTTTCTGCCCCTTGGGCTATAATTCAGAATCAATCGTTATGCTTTTGGCAGCTTGCAAATTTTTCTTTATTATATCATATTAATTTTATGAGTCTTGTATTTCCTAAACCGCCTTTGGAGCATACTCCCTACCCCCTTTTCCCGCCCCATTTGCTATCGTTTTCTCGTTGGTTTATTGCATTTAAAAGATATTTTTTATATCAATGAAGCTTTCATATTGGGGCAAACACACACACACACACTAAACCGCCAGAAAAAGAAAACAAAGGCAAAGGAAAAAAGTTTGCTAAATTTCCTAAAGTCATGCAAACATTTTTTACATATATCGATTTTTCGCTGGAAGAGGTCGACGGGGGTGAGCCTGGTCTTGTTATGACAGGCTCAAATTGGGTGCTATCAAAATTATATATTATTTTGCATAATATCTTCTTCTCCGGCTCAGAGGCTCTAGGATAGGTAATTTGATGCGGCATGAATTTCATGTCCCACAACGATTAGGTTTTTCCAGCGCTCACCATCCACCTTCTTTTTGAAGTGGGTGAATTATTTCTCTAAAGCGGCTTTAAGAAAACTTTTGGCGAAACTTTGAATGATGTCTCATTTGTTTGGGGAGCAGCACTTAAGCACTCTGATTGTCTGAGCTTTGTCAAAGGTAAAACAGCAGGTGTTTTAGGCGGAAGGCAAAGGGGTTGCAAGAACCCATAAGAACTTCTCTGTTATTCAGCTTAATGCAGTCTGAAAGCTTCTCCTTTTTGTTGCCACATAGGAAAATACAGTAAAAAAAGCACTCAGAAAAAATAATAATTTGATAAGTAAAAACTGGCAAAAAAAAGCAGCTCATATTAAATACGCTTTTAACGTAAATAACTTGTAACATACTTAAATATAAGTAATGTAAAGGGACTTATTCTGTGAATGCAATATTTGGTAATGGAAATAAAGTACGAAAAGTGCAACTGGAAAAACTTATGTATATTCAAAATTAATGTTTAAAGTAAATTAAAAGGTTTTACTTTAAAACTAGTGTTCAAAAGCTTTAGATTTTGTGTTAAATCATTTTGAATATTTTATCGCAGTGCACTAAGAGGTAGGAGAGCTTAAATAATATTTTCATTTCAAGCATTGACTTCTGCTCCGTGTGGTTCTACAAAAGGAAATTACCGACAGGAAGGAGGGCCAAGTGGGGAGAACTTGGCCAGTGGAATTCCTTAAGGTGTCGAACCATTTATGACCTGCCATAAACACGTGTAAATCCCGTTCATTATGGAAAAGTCACGATTTCTAGTGTCAATATCGTAAATACAGGCAACTCCGACTCGAAAAGAACTCCGACCTCATGACCATTTCCATTTGGCATTCCCGACTTCCCCCATTGGGGCAATAAAACCGAAAACCCAATTGAAGCTCCCACATAATCTGTATCCATCCATCCATCCATCTATCTATCTATCTGTCTATCTATCCATCCTGCATGTGTCTGTGTGTCTGTATCTTGAGCGCTACACTCGATTACCCCGCTCGACGATCTAATCACTTTGAGTGATGGCTTCGGTGCATTGCGACTCCGTCTAGGTCCGCGTCTACGGCAATCCGTATCTTTGGCCGCCCTGGTATCTCTATCTGTGTACGTCCGCTTCCAGACGGACTTTCCATCGCCGTTGCGTGTTCTGTTTGCATTTTACAAATGTCAACAAAGGCAAATGCACTTCGAGGTTCTATTAGTGGTCAGGTGAGGGTTGATAAGCGCGGCGAACGCTGCACTTGATGGACAGCCAGAAAGCGCGGTAGATGGAACCACCTTCTCCACTGGCGACACCCGTAGTGCTTTTCTAGCTAACACTAAAATTAACATTTGGAAATTCATAAGTTGAAAAAGCATTGTAACTTGATAACATAAAATATTTATCGCAGTGTAAGTTATTGGTGGTGGGCGGTTTAATGCTATTATATGGGATACCCCCTTTCAGCTAAGTAATCCATCATAAAATTAGTTCGGTTGCCACAAATGCTACGAGCGTTAGATTTTTCAACCAAGATTATGATAAAGTTAAGCCAAGCGGAGAAAAAGGCAGAGTGCTACATTTGTGATATCAAAATAATACGAAAATACACCTAGCAGTAGGGGGTGGGTTATATAAATATTAATTTAGGGAATTACCTGTAGGGTTATGCGCTGGGTAGGCAATAACAACTGAGGCGCTGGACAGCCGGTCAAACTGGGGATGCGAATGAACTGGACGGATGATGTGGGTCAGACACGCTATTTGATGCCAGCACCACCAAAAATCTAATAGCAACAAGCTTGGGGTTTAGGGCCAAGGTCTTTAAATGAATAAAATGTATCAGAGCTAAAACAATGTGTAAAATTTGGGAGAAAAGTCGCAGGGTTAAGGGATTTTAAGGGTTATTTTAGGCGTTAAAAATTTAATTTAAATATAAGTGCTCAATAATTTAAAACATTCTGAACTATTGCATAAAAAATGCTTTATAAAACCATTGACTTTTAATAATACTTTTAACACAATATAGATTTTCAGTTGATTTTAAGCTGCCATAGATGGCAAACGATAATATTTAACCCACCAGGATTTAA